CATTGACCTTGTAGGTAAAAATGCTTTCCGATCAATAACTTAAGAAACCCTTAGGTCTAGGAACTTCAAACTTGAATATGGTGATTGGTCATGACCAGCAGATGACCCCTATTGATTTTGGGGTCAAAGGTCAAGGTCACATCGACCTTGTAGGTAAAAGCGGTTTATGATCAATTAACTAAAAACGCTTAGGCCTAGGAACTTCAAACTTTGTATGATGATTGGTCGTGACCAGCAGATGACCCCTATTTAGTTTTGGGTCAAGGGGTCAAAGGTCAAGGTCACATTGACCTTGTAAGTAAAAACGGTTTTTGATCAATAACTTAAGAATGCTTAGGCCTAGGAACTTCAAACTTGGTATGGTGATTTGTCATGACCAGCAGATTATCCCTATTGATTTTGGGATCAAGGGGTCAAAGGTCAAGGTCACATTGACCTTGTAAGTAAAACAGGGTTGCCAGCGGACTTGAAAAGTCAGGGAAATTGGGTATTTTTTCAAGGTCAGGGAATTGTCAGGGAATTTTGAAATTTGGTCAGTGAAAAATGACAATCCTGAAAAGTCAGTGAAAAGTCAGGGAAAAATTATTTCAAAGGTCGAAAAATATACGCATTGAAGGTCTTTCTTGGCTATGGCAGTCTTTAGGCATTTTATATTTGACTTTATAACTCTCACAGTTAAGCATTAAATTCAAATAACAGTAAACTGTGATATTAAGAAGCATTACATGTTAACTTAGTGATTATAATACCCATCATTTACCTTAGAACATCATTCAGCCTAAAGACTTACTAGCAATATCTAGTCAGTACACTGTCTTCTGTATTGGTCTAGCTATTTCTGGCATGATCACTAGCAGGGCTTTTAATTACTAACAAAATCTAGTCAGTATACATGTATACCAAACTACCATATTGGCATATAACCTGCTTTGCTTTTTGCTTTGACACTAAGAAATTGTACAAGAGGATTTGTCTTGCAAACATGATGGAAACTGGTTAAATTATGCAATGCTATGTTTTTCACACTAACTTTTTTTTCACACTTACTTACTTCACTCATTCAAAGTCTTTAATTTTATAGTGATTATTTCATGATATGCCAAAATGAGCCCTATGTTCTTGTTTTCACAATCTGTGGAGTTTATCATGATGCCTTATACAAGTAACTGTGTGAAATGTTTATTGTTCTTATAGTTTAGAGATGTTTGAATTTTAAGTTTTGTCATATAAGTATTACTCTTATAGTCTTGGTGTTTTATGTGTTACTACTAGGAAGGAAAGAGTGACTTATGTGATTTCTAATACAGATGCTTATATTATGATTCTTCTGATTTTCATGTCATATGTTTCACGTTTCACTGACCAACAGTCACACTGTGTTTGAAAAGAAATAGTTAAGAATAGTATAACACAATGTTTGAATCATTACTTTGATGTAAATGTTTTATATTTTGGAAAATAAATACAAGTTTACATGCTAAAATATAATGGGAGGATTGGACGGCTATAGGGGAGGTCAGGAGGCTGTTTATGTGTTTGACGATTTTGGTCAGTGAAAAACATGAATTGGTCAGTGAAAAGTCAGGGAAAAGTCAGGGAATTTTATTTCACCAAAGTGCTGGCAACCCTGTAAAAACGGTTTCTGATCAAAAACTAAAGAACGCTTTGGCCTAGGAACTTCAAACTTGGCATGGTGATTGGTCATGACCAGCAGATGACCCCTATTGATTTTGGGGTCAAAGGTCAAGGTCACATTGACCTTGTATATTAAAACGGTTTCCGATCAATTATAAAAGAACCCTTAGGCCTAGGAACTTCAAACTTGGCATGGTGATTGGTCATGACCAGCAGATGACCCCTATTGATTTTGGGGTCAAGGGGTCAAAGGTCAAGGTCACATTGACCTTGTAGGTAAAAACGGTTTCTGATCAATTAATTTAAAACGCTTAGGCCTAGGAACTTCAAACTTTGTATGATGATTGGTTGTGACCAGCAGATGACCCCTATTGACTTTTGGGTCAAGGGGTCAAAGGTCAAGCTCATGACCAGTAGATACTTGATAACCCTTATTGATTGTTTGATCACTTGGTCAGAAGTCATGCATAATAACCTTATCACATGACTTATTGGCTGCTGATAGGGGGCATACATGTTTTACAAACATATCTTGTTTTACTTAAAATCTTCTGATATTTTTTCTGTAACTGTGAATTTTAAATATATTTTGGACCTAACAATTGTCCTTGTGTAAGTCAAAACATTGCGTTATGATATTTGCTCACAATTTTAGGGACATGTATAAATAACACATCAGTTATGATGTTTAAAAAGGGAGGATTTGAAGTGTCTCCTGTGGTTTATCCAGTAGCTGTTAAAGTAAGTTTATATTGTCTAACACTATACACAATCTCATTTAATACCACTTTAAGAAAATTCTTAGTTTATCAAAAAGTAAAAGAAAAATTGAAGATCACTAGGTAAATTTTGCAGAAATAAAAAACAAATGGAAAGTCAAGCAAATTCCACAATGATTAGTAGAACAGTAACAGTTAACCCCCTTGATCTTAATTAATTTCTATCCAGATTTAAACATGCTGGGTATGAAAGTATCTGTTGTATAGAATATATTAAACTCTTCCATATTAGGAGGCTATCTTAATGCCGAACAGTTTTAGTAAAGGTCTTGGTTTTACATGGCAGCTAGCTTGTGCGTGAAAGAAAATGCCTTTAAGGGCACATGAGGTCTTCCTTCACCAGTAATGCTGGAAAGTTACCCAATGACGTTTACAGTGTTGGTTTGAAAGAGGGATAAAAATCTCTTTGTTCAATAACTCTACAGCTGTAGCTTCCTGGTTGTCTAAGCCTTCTCTGTCAGATAATTTGAACAATAATAATAATAATGCTATGAAATGTTAATACTATTGTTTTTATTACAGTATGATAGTAGATTTGGAGATGCATTTTGGAACAGCAGTAAAGATAGTATGATATTTCACATATTTCGCATCATGACCAGCTGGGCTTTAGTAGTTGATGTCTGGTACCTGCCTCCTATGAAAAGATTGGTAATGCATATTAACACAGTCACTACATTAATGGAAGCTTAATTAGTATTTTGCCACATCTATACAGTCTGACCTGTTTATTTCTTGCACAATTTTGATTTTTGATATTAAAATCCATCAAACTTTGTTCGGGCTATTCCTATTACAAAGCAGAACTAAACTGATCAGATCATTATGGGCCAACTATTTGAGTGAAGATCTATCCATCAATATAGTCATGCCAGCCTGAACTCCTGTGTAGTCAGACTAGTTTATATTTTATAACTGTTCCTAATTTCAAAGCAAGAGTAGTAGACACAAGTCAGTGTAAGAGTGATTTTCTTGTTTGCTATAACTCACTGACCTTAGTGAAGACTAGGTCTTACACAAGTAAAGAAGCATATTCCTATTCCTGTAATTTACAGGAATAGGAATATGCTTCTTTACTTGTGTAAAGGTGTATGCTGGGGTTGCAAATAGACATACTACATGCAGTTATAGAATTTATACTGAAACAAAAAAGAAACTTTCTCCAAGTTTGAATGTAGATATGTTAGTACAGTTTTTCAATCCTTTTGAAACTCGATTTTTACGTTGAATAAACATATCAGGCTTTTATACGGGGATAAGCTGACCGATTTTGCAAACAAAACGAGTTTTACAAGCTGCTACATGTATATAAGTGTGTACATCTAAGTTGTACCCTTGAACAACTGGCACATACTTTGCGAAAGTTTCTTTTTTGGTTCAGTATATTTTAACTTTGTATAATAACAGAAACATTTTAAGAAAAAAGAAATGGATATCCCCAACCTTGTTTTCAAGTTATTAGCCCTTGTTTTGAAAATTTTGCTTAATTGCCCTTCATGATGATTCTATTGCAGTTTAGTGTTAGACCCTCATTGGGGGGTGTCCATGGCCGAGTGGTTAAGGTCGTTCAAACCACTTGCCCCTTACAGCTGTGTGTTCGAATCCCGACAGGGACTTTGGATTCTTTCACGTGAGGAAGCTATCAAGCTAGCTTACGGAACGTCTGTGGTTCTACTTAAGTGCCGGTTTGTGCCTGAAATAATGCACAAAAGGGCACCTGAGGTCTTCCTCCACCAGTAAAGCTGGAACGTTGCCAAATGACCTATACTGTGTCAGTGTGACGTAAAACCCAATCAAACAAAACAAACAAACCCTCATTGAAATTAAAGACTTGGCTTGAATGTTTTACAAGAGCATCAAAGGGATTTTGAATGCTTTAAATTTTTAGTTTGTACATCATTGAAAATATGTTTATCAAGAATTCATTTTATTGGTCTGAAACTGTCAAAGACTTGCTGTCTTGTAACTTCATACTTACAGGATAAAGGCGTTCATTGTTAGCCTATATAAATTTGAACAATTTAGTCTATTTCTGCTTAAAACATTCTAAAAAGCTGGAAGCTAATAACAGTTTTTGTTCTGTTGGACCCGATTATTTTGTTGTTGATTTTGGTGGAAACTGGTAAAATATGGCTGATTGTCTATGATGACTAATTTTAAGCCCAAACCTTGTGCAGATATTGTGTAGAAAATTAAGGTTTTATTAGGGATAAACTCTAGATGTATTTCCATACTTATAAAATACTACTGTAAACTTGTTGTCACCGTGTAGGATGGTGAAGATTCAGTGAGTTTTGCCAGTCGAGTGAAAGCTGAAATAGCAAGACAAGGGGGTCTCGTTGACCTGGAATGGTGAGTTTTCACTTTGTTTCATTAACATTGTAATTATTTGTATAAGAATCTGCTATGTTGCTGTGAGATTATATCCATATATACAGTACTATTACATAAATTCAAGTCTGCATTTTATAATTTGTTTACACTATCTACATGTTGGCAGAAATAAATTACAAAGAAAAATATCAACCATATTGGGTCTAGTCAGGGCTTCCATTTGTGGAAGTTTGGGAGTCAATTACTCAAGATTTTGCTTTATAATGTGACTTCCAATGTCAGGCATTTTCAGTCGCTGACTTACAAATTTTGAAACTTAATGAAAGTCCTGTCAAGCAAGATAACAGCTAAGCTCTGCCCAGCATTATACATATTAAGCAGTAATACCACATAGACTGAGGCTTAAACCTTTGGACGACCAGACTGCTATTCCTTTGCATAAGAAATCGATTGACACATTGTTTATACATTTTGCTTTGCTTTTCTCTATTAAGCTTGTATGATTAACCCGTAGCTTTCATTTGAGGACAAATTAGGCATTGGGGTAGAACCAAGTTGAATAATGTTCCAGCTTTCTAGTAATGGCATATTACAATTAACTTCCAATTGTATTAGTACGGGTGATGTAAAGCAAATGTCCATAACCATTTTACCAACCAGCATAGAGATCTGTTAGGGTATCTTTTTTGGTAAAAATTATATGACAACTTTGAATTATCTTCACTGATAGAGAAAGATTGAGATGGCCTCTGTGTGCATGTTTGGAGGGAGTAGAACCACCACCTTCCATAAGTTTCTATTTATGAAGTATATTTCAGTTCATTTGTGTAGGAAGCTATCAGGTTATATACACAATCTCATTCTTAGAAAGAGAAAGTCCTTAAAGTAAACTCAAAATGGTGTGGTGACAAGCAAGGGACTTTAAACACTTAGCCAGGGAGGCTCTTGTTAAAACTAAATATAGGTGATCCATAGTTAGCATTTATTCACCTTATCTCAGAATTAAAAGATTGAAATAAAAACTTTGTAATAATTAAGTGATGTGCATAAAATGCTTGTTTTGTTAGGGATGGTCAGCTGAAAAGAATGAAAGCAAAGGAAACATGGAAATCATCTTCACAACGTGACTACAGCAAACTTCTGAAAGTAGAGTAGCCCTTCATGTTGTGATCTCTTTATATGCATTTTCATTTCTGTGATTTTTGTAATTCAAGTGCAAATAAATGATTAATTGTTGCAGGCATATTAATGCTAAATTTTCAATTTTGTTAATTGTTCAATGTAAAAATTATTGTTCTAATTGTATGTCAGAACTTTCTTTGCTATTTTTGTCATTTTTTCATGCAATATTATTTGTTCATTACGGTAAAGTTATACATGTATTATAAATATATTAGATTTTGAAGCAGTGTATTCACATATCACAAATTAATAAGTTTTTTCTCTCCCAGAAAATGTTTATATTTGGTATTTTGATATTGTGCACTGGTATAAACCTGTTTATATAACAAGGTACATGTGTCTATAATATGTCACTTGATGATTGGTATGAGGCAAAAACATACGCAAGTCTGGTGAGTGACCCATAAATAGAATATTCATGAATTAATAAAATGAACAATAAATGTAGTAATGTAAATATGATAACAATATAAAACTCAGTAAAAATCCATCTCTCCTAACAATAAAGATACTGATGTTTTCATGTATGAATTTCTCACTAGAATGAGTTGGCTTTACACTTTATCCTATTATACATGATATAAAAGTTAAGAAAGAAAATACTACCTTGATCGCTGTATTGTATTGGTTTTCTGCTTCAAGCAGATCATAAATGATAGCATATGAAGAAACCTGCTAGTGATCTAATAGGGCTTAAACCTACAATCCCTGTGTAAAGAGGCATTCACCTTTATTATAATGCTATTGAAAAATAATTAAAGAGATTAACTCTAAAAAACTATCAAACTGTATCTATTAAGAATTATATACTTGATGAAAATTTGAGTAATATATTTAATAAAAAATCATAAAAATAAATCTATATCAAAGCTGATGATAATCACAAAAATATCAGATTTTTTTTCTGTGGGTAATTTACAGTCCATTTTATTTATTTTTCGTTTAATTCAGCATAAAAAAAGTTAGGTGTTAGGTGTAGAAGTTAAGGTGTGAATATATATTAGACTTTAAAGTAGCATGTATGTACTAGTAACAGACAAAATAAAAAAAATAAAAAAAAAAACTGGCAGAAAAATGTAAGATACAGGCAGGTATGTGAGTGAAATCTTCATTACCAGTATGTACAAACTGGATGTTATGCTTACAAGTTATGTTCTTATTGATGAATTTGATGTAGAATTCACTGTATAGCTGTAATAAGATTAATATGATATAATATTGTACATTAAAACTACAACAGTTATGTGCATATTTATGTATGTTGTTTAAATCTTTTTAAACAGTGGCATTATTTTCTTTCTTTTTTTTGTCAAAATAGTTGTGTTCAGTTAACGTTTTGTTTCTAGCACTACTTGTATGTGATTTATATCACATAAATCTTGATATTTTCTACTGTCAGAATGCTACAATGCTCTGTTTCTGAAATAAATTATAAACTTTACATACTGTCACCACACATACAAAAGCACTCTTAAGTTTTGCCAAAAATCCATGCCACTACATTGTATAGTGGCTTCAAAACTGTTACCCTACTATACTTTGCCATCAATAAAGAGCCAGCAGGTGTGTAGTGTGATCAGGTTCTATACTGTCAGGTGACCACCTTCAAATCTTCACATCCAGAAATATGGGAGTTGCACAAGTGAATTTAAAATTTCAGCAGGGTAAAGCCTTTGTTAATGGACAAGTAGCATAATACTAATTTTACAATAATCATTTAATTACTTTCTTGTTATTTTCCTTTTTCTGCTGTTTTAACTTTTTATTTGAATATGTCATTGCAACTATGAGATATTCCCATTTGTCATAAGAGTTACCTATATTTTTGTTTAGCTGTTATTCCAATTTATTATAGTGACCATTTTGTCCTGTAAGCCATATTGGGTAGGGTGTTAATATAATTATAATGTTTATCAGATTTTTAAATATTATATTGAAAATTTAGATCTCAAGTCACTTATTTAACTGCAATAATGAGCAGTTGTGCTTTTTGAAATACATGTACATGTATCAATAATTCTTTAAATGAAGGAGTGTGAAATTATTTATGTATTTTATGACCTGCGGTGGGGAAATAGAATTATGATCTGCTTCTTGTATTCAAACTTGACTTACGTAAATTTAGCTTCACCAACCCCAAACCATTGACATGAGACAGAAGACCTTTAGTAGAAAAACTTGTAGTATGAAATATATTTTTATGTTACAAGGTTTTTGCTAAAAGGTAGTAAAGTTGTTGTATATTTTATTATAATTTAATTATTATACAATGATGTTTTTATATTCTTTTAATGATTTTGGAGAAAGTTATTATAGAAGAAAACAGAATAAAATGTTGCAAGAAGAAATATTTATCTACTGTTTTAAGGGTTGATTTTTCAAATGCTCTATCAGCTTTACAGGACTTTACAAACCTCATTCTTTAAGTTTAGGTATTTTGAAGTGATTGTTACCCATATAAAAACCTATACAGACCTATGACCATAGCTTGTTACCTTTATACTGATTATAAATACAGATACAGCTGCAAGAGTTGTTCTCAGATGAATAGATATATAGCAATATGAGATGTAAGCCGAAATTCAGTATGATAATAAAATATATTATGAATTACACATGTCCTATCAGCACAAATATTAATCAGTCGCTATTTAAAGTTGCCTATAATGTATATACTAGTCAATGTTATATAATATTAACATTTAGTCATTTGGGTTTTTTCTATTATATAATCATGTATTGTTTTTGCTATGTTTATGTTGTACAAGTAGTAAGTATATTGTTTAAGAACTATTATGTTTCAAAACTATATTCACATTGTTTTTATATTTGCATGAATATTTACAAAAATAAAGGATGGGAAAATGTTCTTGATTTTTCTTTATAACAAACACTTACCCTCTTCTAAAACCTGATGCCTAAGTGGCAAGACAGTAGATATATAATTAACTTTAATTTGGACATTCCTAGTCACCTTTTCTTTCTCATATTGTTTGATGTTTTATGCTATGTCAAAAATAATTACAGGGGAGAGTACACATGCTGGTATGTTGTATCTTAATCTCTTGTAAGTCATATAGATTTTCTGATGTCACCTTAATTGTAAATATTTGGTGTATTGCTACTGAACAACTTCTAATCCCTTTGGTTGGGAATAAGGTAAATAGCCATAGGGTCAAAGATGACTGAGGTTAAAAATACAATTTTGTACTCATCCTCTAGTGGGGTATGAAATCTGCCCGGTGAAGGTTCACAGACTGCAACTTGAATTTTTGCATGTTTTCCTTTTTTGTATACAATGTTAAGCTTTATTAAAGTGGTGTTTGGAATAATCTGTCCAGTTGCCAGTATCCAGGAAAAATCAACTAAAAATATTTAAGTTATTAAAAAGCACACATTTTTTTCATGTAAGTTCAAGGGAGGCATTTCTGATAATTTTTGTGCTAGAGTTAAAACCTTGTCACATATGTTGTGGTTGATGACCAGAATAGTCTGTAAATATATCTATATATACTCCCTATAGTCAAGATTAAAATGATGTGTATAATTTCCATACTACCATCTATCCATATTTTATGTTTCATAAAAAATTTCAGCTTTTTTGACTAATCACAAATATTGTTATATTTGCCATGTTTTAAGCCTATTTGTTGCCATGGCAACCAATTTTTTTTTCAAATTAGGTGAGAAAAAAAAAGACATGCATACCCATATTTCAAGTTTCATAAAAATATTTTCAGTACTTTTTGCATTATCACTAGATCCAGTTTATGTGTTAAATTTGCCATATTTTCAGTCTATTTGTTGCCATAACAACCAGAATTTTTAACATGGGAAGAAAAGAAAAAAGTGTGCATAATTTCCATGCTGCCATCTATCCATATATCAAGTTTCATAGAAATATTTCCAGTACTTTTTGCATTATTGCGGGATCCAGTTTTGAGGATGGACAGACTGACGGAGGGTAAACCTAAAGTCCCCTTCGGTAAACTGGTAGGGGACTAAAAACAATGGTCTTAAAATGCTCATTACAATTGAACAAGACTTGTCCCCACTTCTCTCGTTGCTGGAAAGTAATTAAAAACAGTCCAAATGGGGTTATATTTTGCAAAAAGACTTGACTGACTTCAATAAGGTCATATAACTACATTACATAGAGGAACCTCAATAGAATCATCTTACACAGCTGTGTACATACTTTCTATGAAAGAATCGAAAGTTCTATCAAGATTTGAATATACCATGATGAAAGGGAGGTAATCTGACGCCAGCAAACATACCATGATGAAAGGGAGGTAATCTGAGGCCAGCAAACATACCATGATGAAAGGGAGGTAATCTGAGGCCAGCAAACATACCATGATGAAAGGGAGGTAATTTGAGGCCAGCAAACATACCATGATGAAAGGGAGGTGATCTGAGGTCAGCAAACATACCATGATGAAAGGGAGGTGATCTGAGGTCAGCAAACATACCATGATGAAAGGGAGGTAATCTGAGGCCAGCAAACATACCATGATGAAAGGGAGGTGATCTGAGGCCAGCAAACATACCATGATGAAAGGGAGGTGATCTGAGGTCAGCAAACATACCATGATGAAAGGGAGTGATCTGAGGCCAGCAAACATACCATGATGAAAGGGAGGTGATCTGAGGCCAGCAAACATACCATGATGAAAGGGAGTGATCTGAGGCCAGCAAACATACCATGATGAAAGGGAGTGATCTGAGGTCAGCAAACATACCATGATGAAAGGGAGGTGATCTGAGGTCAGCAAACATACCATGATGAAAGGGAGGTAATCTGAGGCCAGCAAACATACCATGATGAAAGGGAGGTGATCTGAGGCCAGCAAACATACCATGATGAAAGGGAGGTGATCTGAGGTCAGCAAACATACCATGATGAAAGGGAGTGATCTGAGGCCAGCAAACATACCATGATGAAAGGGAGGTGATCTGAGGCCAGCAAACATACCATGATGAAAGGGAGTGATCTGAGGCCAGCAAACATACCATGATGAAAGGGAGGTGACCTGAGGCCAGCAAACATACCATGATGAAAGGGAGGTGACCTGAGGCCAGCAAACATACCATGATGAAAGGGAGGTGATCTGAGGTCAGCAAACATACCATGATGAAAGGGAGGTAATCTGAGGCCAGCAAACATACCATGATGAAAAGGGAGGTGATCTGAGGCCAGCAAACATACCATGATGAAAGGGAGGTGATCTGAGGTCAGCAAACATACCATGATGAAAGGGAGTGATCTGAGGCCAGCAAACATACCATGATGAAAGGGAGGTGATCTGAGGCCAGCAAACATACCATGATGAAAGGGAGTGATCTGAGGCCAGCAAACATACCATGATGAAAGGGAGTGATCTGAGGCCAGCAAACATACCATGATGAAAGGGAGTGATCTGAGGCCAGCAAACATACCATGATGAAAGGGAGGTGACCTGAGGCCAGCAAACATACCATGATGAAAGGGAGGGGATCTTAGGCCAGCAACCTTAACCACACAGGCTCTATTTTTTATAAATTTACAGTAACAATTACATCAGTAATTCTTCAGATAAATTTTAATGTATTTTGTTATAAAAACAGTTAAAATGACAAACCATTGAAATTGATCATTTTATAAAACAAGATTGCATTTGTAAAAAATGCCATGCCACCGCATAAATACAACACTAAATAGTAATGTAGGAACACATTTTTTTAGTTTCTATACAGATTGCCATCATGCATAGATCACTTACCTATCTGTTATTATAAGATTAGTAACTTCAGACAATAAGATTTTATTTTTTTACTTCATGACATAGTGACTGAAAATCAATGATCCCCAGGGGCGGGGCCAATTTTGACCCCAGGGCTTTAATTTGAATAATCTTGCTAAAGGTTCACTACACAATGTTTACTGCAAAATGTCTCACCTCTAGCCTTTGTCAATTCGAATAGATAATTTTTTAAAGTTTTTACTATATACATGTAAGGAAAACCTATGACCCCGGGGCAGGGCTAGTTTTGACACTACAGGCAAAATTTGAACACCTTTGGTAGAGTACCTATACATGATATCATATACCAAATATCAAAGCTCTAAGCCTTGTACCTTCAGACAATAAGATTTTTTAATTTTTTACTATATGTACATAGTGAAAATCAATGATCCCCGGGGCTGGCCATTTTTGACCCATGGTCTATACTTTGAACAATCTTACTAGAGGTTCACCACACAATGTTTCATGTAAAAATTCTAATCTCAAGCCTTTGTCAATTTAGAGAAGATGATATTTTAAGTTTTTACTATATACATATTAGGAAAACCTGTGATCCCCGAGGGGGCTAATTTTGACATTAGAGGCAAAATTTGAACAACTTTGGTAGAGTACCTATAGATAATAACACATACCAAATATCAAACCTCTAAGCCTTGTACCTTCAGACAATACGATTTTTTACTATATGTACATAGTGAAATCAATGACCCCCCAGGGCAGGGCCAATTTTGACCCCAGGGCTATAATTTGTACAATCTTGCTAAAGGTTCACTTCACAATGTTTCATGCAAAATATCTAACCTCTGGCCTTTGTGAATTTAGAGAAGATGATTTTTTGAAGTTTTTACTATATACATATATGAAAAACCTATGACCCCCGGGGTGGGGCTGACTTTGACACTAGAGGCAAACTTTGAACAACTTTGGTAGAGTACCTATAGATAATAACACATACCAAATATCAAACCTCTAAGCCTTGTACCTTCAGACAAGAAGGTATTTTAAGTTTTTACTATATGTACATATAGTGAAAATCAATGACCCCCGGGGCGGGGCCGATTTGGACCCCAGGGCTATAATTTGAACAATCTTGGTAGAGGTCTACCAGACAATGCCTTATGCAAAATATCTAAGCTCAAGGCCTTTTGGGTCTTTACAAGAAGATTTTTTAAATTTATTCTTATAATTCCTTTTGGTTGCCATGGCAACCAGAATTCTGCATGGAATGAAATTCTTTGAACAACTTTGGAAGGCCTTCCCCCAAGGATCAATCCTGCCAAGTTTGGTTGAAATTGGACTAGTGGTTTTTCACAAGAAGATTTTTTAAGTTCACTATATAATCTATATAACACACACACACACAAACAAACACACACACAGGTGAATCGCTATATGCCACCGCATCGCAGATGCTGCGGTGGCATAAATATAACATTTTTTTCATACTGACAGCAAATGTTAGGATAGTAAATATTAGTATATATTATAGCAAAAATATAAAACAAGAGGGCCATGATGGCCCTGAGGTCGCTCACCTGTATATAGGCCCCCCCAACCCCCACCCCCCCCCAACGTTGCAGAGCCAATTTAACCCAAGGGCTTTTATTTGCACAAACTTGGTAGACACCCATAAGAAGATGTTTCATGCTAAACATTTAAGCTCTAGCTCATTGGGCTTTTTAAAAGAAGATTTTTTTAAAGTTTTTACTATACACATATAGTTAAAAACAATGACACCCCTGGGGCCGGGCCAGTTTTGACCCCAGGGCTTTTATTTGAACAAACTTTGTAGACACTTACTAGAAGATGTTTCATGCTTAATATCTAAACTCTAGCTATTTGGGTTTTTTCAAAGAAGATTTAAAGTTTTTGCTAAACACATATAAAGAAAATCAATGACCCCCGGGGCGGAGCCAATTTTGACCCCTGGGCTTGTATTTGAACAAACTTGGTAGACACCTATTAGAACATGTTTGATGCTCAATATCTTAGCCATAGCTCTTTGAGTTCTTTAAAAGAAGATTTTTTAAGTTTTTACTATATGCATATAGGGAAAATCAATGACCCCCCGGGGCGGGGCCAATTTTCACCCTAGGGCTTTTATTTAAACAAACTTGGTAGACACCCATTAGAACATGTTTCATGCTAAATATCTTAGCTCTAGCTCTTTGGGTTCTTTAAAAGAAGATTTTTTAAGTTTTTACTATATGCATATAGGGAAAATCAATGACCCCCCGGGGAGGGGCCAATTTTGACCCCAGGGCTTTTATTTGAACAAACTTGGTAGACACACACTAGAAGATGTTTCATGCCAAATATCTAAGCTCTAGCTCTTTGAGTTCTTTAAAAGAAGATTTTTAAGTTTTTACTATATGCATATAGGGAAAATCAATGACCCCCGGGGCGGGGCCAATTTTCACCCCAGGGCTTTTATTTGAACAAACTTTGTACACACTCACTAGAAGATGTTTCATGCTTAATATCTAAACTCTAGCTATCTGGGTTTTTTCAAAGAAGATTTTATAAGCTTTTGCTATACACATATAAGGAAATCAATGACCCCCGGGACGGGGCCAATTTTGACCCCAGGGCTTTTATTTGAACAAACTTGGTAGACACCTATTAGAACATGTTTCATGCTAAATATCTTAGCTCTAGCTCTTTAAGTTCTTTAAAAGAAGATTTTTTAAGTTTTTACTATATGCATATAGGGAAAATCAATGACCCCCTGGGGCCGGGCCAATTTTGACCCCAGGGCTTTTAGTTGAACAAACTTGGTAGACATTCATTAGAACATGTTTCATGCTAAATATCTTAGCTCTAGCTCTTTGGGTTCTTTAAAAGAAGATTTTTTAAGTTTTTACTATATGCATATAGGGAAAATCAATGACCCCCTGGGGCGGGGCCAATTTTGACCCCAGGGCTTTTATTTGAACAAACTTGGTAGACACTTACTACAAGATGTTTCATGCCAAATATCTAAGCTCTAGCTCTTAGGGTTTTTTAAAAGAAGATATTTAAAGTTTTTTCTTTCGGTTGCCATGGCAACCATGGCAACCAGAGTTCTGCATGGAATTAAATTCTTTGAACAATTTTTAAAGGTGACCACCAAAGGAACATTCCTGTGAAGTTTGGATGAAATTGGCCTAGTGGTTTATGAGGAGATGTCATTTAAAGTAAAAGTTTACGGACGACGGACGGACGACGGACGAAAAGCGATCACAAAAGCTCACCCTGTCACTTTGTGACAGGTGAGCTAAAAAGACAACACCACACTATTGTATTAGTAAAACAAAAATATAAAGAATAAATGAAAGGATACCTGCAGTGGTTGTGTAAAACATTCATCAGTAATTTTCTTACGGGAAATAATTCAGTTAAAATTAATATACTGGTAAGTGTTAGGGTATTATTGGTCAGTGACCTACAATTTAACACCATAAAATAATACATTTAGGAGGTTTTGAGAGAACTATTTAGTGATAAAAGAAAAAAACTTACTACCACAATATTTAACAAAAATATGTTGCAAGGGGAGTAATTCAGTGAAAATTTGTGCTTTAAGGGTATTGGATAGTACAACTAAAATTATGATCCCTAAAATTTTAAATGAATATCATTAACCTTTAATGAGATATAACCTAATACCAAGGTGTTAAGTGAGCTCCCAACACAAGCAGTAAAACTATGATAATATTTGTTAAAAAGTTGCAGATGTTATAATTCATAACGTTTCTTTATCTTACAATATTAATGTAATCATTTGTTCCATGAATAATGATATATTGCTCAAATTTAATATATAAAAATACTGATTACTGCTGCTACAGCCTCATTTTAATGTAAAATAAACATCTTTCGAGTACAAACATACAAGTTGCATACTTAAAAAATTTACTATTGAGCAAGTTTGCATTGGTTATGAAAACTTTCAGTAGCTAATTTTGATATACTTATGCATTTATTATCACTCTGAAATTCATAACATGATGCTACAAACATAACTCTTCAACAAATAATGTCATATCATATACGTATATATTACAAATGTTGATGGCAAATGAATCTAAATTTTTATCCAACAAGTTCAGTTTCTCTCATAAGATATTGGTAGGCTGCAGTTTTCCCCTGACGTTGTAACTCTGGTCCAACAATGTCTCTGCATTTAGAGTGGTAATCATTCAACCAGTCAATCTGTTACAACAAACATTTTCACTTTAATCTGTTTATATGACTTGGAACATTTTTGGACTCATATAACTTGGAACATTTGAACTAAGCTATATTTCCAGATTTTTGTTGAAAAATATTCTGGCTGACTTAAATACATTGTATATATCTATCTCAAACATGTTATTATTGTTCAGTACTTTTATGACGCTCTGAAATCTTTTATAATGAACTAATGTTGTAAATTAAATACTGTAAATATATGTATATGTTCATTTATAATACTGCATGTCTGTAATGTCGCGTTTCATTGGATAATCATGACGTTTATATTGATTTATATACACGGCTGCTGTCGATTTATGAAGAAATCGCCCTTTAATCCTCTAAAAATGATGCTTGCTGTATTATAAATTCCTTGTGAATATTTCTGACAGGTTATATGGCCGTATATAAATGGTTGTTGGCAATATGACCCTCGCCTAGTGGCTCGGGTTATATTTACAAACAACCATTTATATAGGGTCATATAACCTGTCAAAAATCTTTATAACTAATAATGTCCTGATTAACATTAGCCTAATTAACATCCTAAAATACATAATACAAAACAGAATGAGGAATACCATATTGTTAAATTATGTTAAAAGTTGAAAATAATACACAATAGAAACAGATATTTGACCATGACACAAAACAGAAACAATTTTTTGACCATGACACTAAACAGATACAAATATTTGACCATGGCACAAAACAAGTACAGATATTTGACCATGGCACAAAACAGATACAGATATTTGACCATGGCACAAAACAGATACAGATATTTGACCATGACACAAAACAGAAACAAATATTTGACCATGGCACAAAACAGATACAGATATTTGACCATGGCACAAAACAGATACAGATATTTGACCATGGCACAAAACAAATACAGATATTTGACCATGATATAAAACAAATACAGATATTTGACCATGGCACAAAACAGGTACAGATATTTGACCATGATATAAAACAAATACAGATATTTGACCATGACACAAAACAGGTACAGATATTTGACCATGGCACAAAACAGGTACAGATATTTGACCATGACATAAAACAAATACAGATATTTGACCATGACACTAAACAGAAACAAATATTTGACCATGGCACAAAACAAATACAGATATTTGACCATGACACAAAACAGATACAGATATTTGACCATGACACAAAGCAGATACAGATATTTGACCATGACACAAAACAGAAACAATTATTTGACCATGATACAAAACAGGCATGAATTTTTCTACTTGACCATAAAACAGATATATATAATAGACCTTGATACAAAATAGAAAATTTTATCATGATACAAAACTTACTAAAGAATCCATGATATAGAACAGACATATTTTATATCAAGAAAATTAGTGATTATTATCTTTTTTGCAGGATATGTCTTCTCAAAATAGCTCAATGTTTGCTAAATCTGCTGTAAGAAATAATGTATTACCTCTTTCTGTGTTAGAAGACTTGCATCAATCATTTTTCGCTGTATTGGCACTAATGTGAGTGGTTCAAATGTTAAAAATCCTTTATTTCTGAAGTTATACTGAAATGAAAAGATGAAAACATTATTCATTATCACTAAAATGTACACACCATATACATTTAATTATATTGTCTCCCTCTATTTTCCTACAGGACTTTAAAGTACCTGTATATTCAAACAAACTAGAAGACCACATGATGACCCTTTTTATCATTCATCTGAATAAAGATAACAATTATTTTCATTCCATGGGCGAGCATAATACTACTGGCATTAGAGCAGTTCCCATACAAAAATCGCAATGATTTAAAACAAGATTGCATTTGAGAAAAATGCTATGCCACCGCATAAATACAACACTAAATAGTAATGTAGGAACATATTTTTTTTGTTTCTATACAATTTGAGATTGTCATAATGCATATCTAAGTCTTATTATCAGATTAGTGGTTAAATCTATTGTAAACTCAATAAAAGATCAGAGTAGGAATATATCAATGCACTTGAGTCTAGTGAATTTGGTGGTGAAGGTCATATTTCACACAGCCTAAAATTTCATGACTGCATCAAAGAACAACATGTAATACACCCTGTCAAAATCTAGGTCAGCTGATATCAAAGTTCACTTTTAATTTTGACACTAGAGGCAAACTTTGAACAACTTTGGTAGAGTACCTATAGATGATATCATTTAACAAATATTAAAGCTCTAAGCCTTGTACCTTCAGACAATAAGATTTTTTTTATTTTTTACTATATGTATGTATTGAAAATCAATGACCCCGGGGCGGGGGCAATTTTGACCCCAGGGCTATTATTTGAACATTCTTGCTAGAGGTTCACTTCACAATGTTTCATGCAAAGTATCTAACCTCTAGCATTTGTCAATTGCTAGAAGAAATTTTTTTAAAGTTTTTACTATAAGTTTTTACTATGTAAATATGAGGAAAATCAATGACCCCCGGGGCCGGGCCGATTTTGACCCCAGGGCTATAATTTGAACAATCTGGGTAGAGGTCTATCAGACAATGCCTTATGCAAAATATCTAAGCTCTAGGCCTTTTGGGTCTTCACAAGAAGGTATTTTAAGTTTTTACTATATGTACATATAGTGAAAATCCATGACCCCCGGGGCAGGGCTGATTTTGAACCCAGGGCTATAATTTGAACAATATTGGTAGAGGTCTACCAGACAATGCCTTATGCAAAATATCTAAGCTCTAGGCCTATGGGCCTTTACAAAAAGGTATTTTAAGTTTTTACTGTATGTACATATAGTGAAAATCAATGACCCCCCGGGCGGGGTCGATTTTGACCCCAGGGCTATAATTTGAACAATCTTGGTAGAGGTCTACCAGACAATGCCTTATGCAAAATATCTAAGCTCTAGGCCTTTTGGGTCTTTACAAGAAGATTTTTTAAATTTATTCTTATAATTCCTTTTTGTTGCCATGGCAACCAGATTTCTGCATGGAATGAAATTCTTTCAACAACTTTGGAAGCCCTTCACCCAAGGATCAATCCTGCCAAGTTTGATTGAAATTGGACAAGTGGTTTTTCACAAGAAGATTTTTTAAGTTCACTATATAATCTATATAACACACACACACACAAACAAACAAACAAACACACACACACACGCACACACACACAGGTGAATCGCTATATGCCACCGCATCGCAGATGCTGCGGTGGCATAAAAAAATTGAATACCAATTATGGGGAAATATGGGGAAATAAAATTACTGTATTATTTTGTTCAATTTACCCATTACTGGTATCCATATGTATTTACTTGCAATAGAGAGCTTGTATGCATGATATTTTACACATAAAAGCAATAAATTTATTTATAATCAGGTTATACAGGACAAAATTGCAGTATTGAAGCAAGATTCATCCTATTGTCTGTTTATCTTCCCACTGATGGTATCATTGCTGAACCCCGATACACATTTTGTTTAGCAGTATTTCTGCAAATGAGCACTAGGACCTGAACCCAAAATGTTTAAAAGGTCAGATGTGAAAGTGATTTATAATGATTATTGTTTGCCTTCTACCAAACATGCACTGAAACCCTGTCCATTTTACAGCCATTCCAGCAATAAAAGAGCCATCGGTGATAATAAATAACAATTTTTGTAGGTTTGAAAAAATGATTTTTAGGTTTAGTTACGGTTAAAATAACATTTCACAAATTTAATTTTAAAATACTGTACATTAATTTTATACCGTCACTAACATATTTGCTGTTAAACTATATCACCGAATTCAGACGTAACGGAAGTTAAAACCGTATACTTGCTTTGTTTGAAGACACAATAAACTATTTCAGGATGAACTTTAGGTAACACGCTCAGATTCTTTCATCATATACATATTTTGCCGCATTGCAAAATAGCTTGCAAAATAAATCCTGGTCAACAAACCCAAAAGAGCAAAATTGAAAAATTATTGAAAAAAGGATCAATATTTTCCCAGGAATACATATTCCTTTTTTCTCTCATAAAATCCAGATATTGGCAAAAAACGGTACATTTTTAGGGTTTCTATACACCTTTTGTGTCGAACATTTAATGCTTAATAGAATTTCATATTAACTTTTTATCTGCTACCTTATACGTTATGCATTTTCAAATTGGTATAAAATAACGGAAGTTAAAAAGTTTGAAACTGAACTTTTATTTATTTTAAAACAATCAAAAAGAAATATATCAAACTAAAATGTAATTATAACTGTCAGTAAACTTTGATATGATCATATTTATGATATCTCAGTGTCATAACAAGCAGTTGGTTTACGTTGATAAATATTTACAATATAACAACAACAAAAACATGTAATAATTTTTTACAGTTTCCTTTAGCAAATTTCACCATTTTATTCATCTGGAATGTAATTTTGTTTCCACTGGATATGCTATATATATTTATATTCCATTTTGAAGCTTAACTTTAAAAAAAACCGTAAAATTATTAACATTTTCAACAAATTTACATGTCACGGAAGTTACGTCACGGATGTTAAGCATTTAAGACCCAGCATTTATTTATAAGAAAACGATAATTTTTCTTTCACATAACACTTCAATTAAGTCCGTGATTTCATTTCCAAGTTTGTTAAGTCGTTTTCTTGACCCCGACGAATGTGGTTCTGGTACTTTCATTAAAATATCTCCAGCAGGGATCCACGCTATGTCTGCTTTTGATGGTCACCGAAAACTGATTTCCCTTGTCCCGACCTCTTCCATAAAATTAATCTTAAATTGATCAGCTGATTCATTGCTCTCACTAACCAGACCAATATACCATTCTTGTTCAAAAACTGCAGCACAAAAATCACCTTCTTCAACATGAACACATTTCTTTTCAGTTTCATTTATTTTGGCATCTGTATTACCAATATCTTTACTTGTACTTTCACCTGTCGAGACATTTCACTCTAATGCCTTTCGGGTGCCTTTGACTTTGAGTCCGGTTTTACTATTTGTTTTTGACAATTCATGAACCGTCCAACCGCTGCATTCAGACGTAATTACATCGGATTTACAGTTGTTACAAGAGCATGACAAGTCGCGGCTCGCTATTGATGTATGGCCAATAGGAACAACAGCATGCAGCTTAAAAGTCCCTTTTACTGCTTTGATGTTTTCATTTCTATTTTTCAGGTCATCGGCTGTTGCTTCGTACAATTCTTGAGATACATAATAATATGTCACAGATGTTTCAGTATCAGACTGCTTTCTTGCCCAAGAATAGAAATCATGTGCATTCTGAATAATAACTTTGCCTTGCTTTACAGCCATGTCTGCGGAACGTTTAATACTTCCTCCAAGCCCATCACAAGGGCCTTTCCCGTGGCCACTTTTGAGGTAATCCCAGCATCCCCTGACTCCAAAAAGTGCTTCATGTCTTGTTAAGAACTCAAATATACTCTTATTACGATATTGAGAGGTTGGAGAATCTGTAAGATAGTGTATGTACTTCAAGTCTGGGTATTCGGATTTGATTATTGGAATCAAAGTTGACACCATAGAAACAACCATTGCTGCATTGTGTATATTAAGATCTGATATGCCCACGACACTTTTATGTGTTTTATTATGTGTCTTTGGAAAATACGCAACGCTGGTGTGTAAAGTCACTTGTTCGCTTGTCCAATAAGCTGATTGGACTTCATCAAGTGCTGAGCATGTAAAGTTTTCAGCAAAGTCCATCCATATAAGAACATGGCCATCTTCTAGATTTTCACGGACATGCCGCATTTGACTATACTGATTTTTTACTCGGTGAACATGAGCCCGGAATTCTTTCACATCCTTTGTAAAAAGTTCAACAAACTCCGCCTTCGTAACATTAGTCTGGACCTGCTTCCATTTCATTTTTCCAGATTCGTCAACTCGTTTCCACTCTGTATATGTCAGGTGGGATTTCTGTATTTGTCCAAGTTTTTCTTGTATATCACCATCGGTGTTATTTTAAATAAAATTGTCAGGGTTCTTAGTCCCTGCTATATTTTGAATTGCCTTGATTTTTAATGCAATATTTTGATGCCGCGAACACAAACACGTATTTCTGCAACAGAAGTTCACCAATAAGACGTGTTTTGGTCTCATATTACTAAAGGTTGATCTTGAAATCTTGATTTGTGGATTTTCTAATATAAATTTAGCGTGAAGATTGTGCAAGTAGTCCGTCAATATTCGCTTTTGGTGCTTCTGATCTCTTTTTCCTGGCATAGTGACACAATTATCCTCACGTTGAAAAAATTCATGAACTTTTGTTTTAACAACCTGACTTCTACCTGAATTTTTCTTTTTGCAACTTGCATTCATTCGCTTTCTACTAATACCAAGCATTTTCCCAAATGCCCGCACACATCTATACTTCTTTGCAATTTTAAGTTTACAGTTCTTCAAAGCATTTGTTTCCGTGATTTCTGCGTTTAACACATGAAACTGTAGAAGTTTTTTCTTTAGTTGTATGTGTTTTTTAGGGGTTAATCCCGAATCTCTTAAATCAATATTTGCCTTTGTGTTTGGTGTTAGCATGTCAGTTTTGTCATCGAATTTGGTATTTTTCCTCGGTGTTTCACTTGTATTAGGCATTTGAATGTCATTTGTATCATTTGAAAAATTTAGCCTTTCAGCATTACTTGACATCACTTGGCTGATTTCACTTGCAGCTATTTGCAGGTCTGTGTTGCATGTGTTCAGTCTTAATTCCGGTGTTTTGTTTTTAGTTTGTCGTGCTCTCTCTAACCGTTTCTGTATTCTTTTTTTCTCTTTCTTTAGTTGTGCATTCATTAATTCAAGGTCTTTGATATGCTTTTCAGCTTTTCCTAATTCGTTACACAGCATACTTTTTCCAGTTCTAGAGCATCTGTTTTGCTTGAAATCGAGTTTAATTGTCAGACAACCATTATTGTTATTTCTTGTTTGCACTGTGTCTGTGTTTAAAATATGAAAAACAAAATTGCATTTCTATCATTTTGTTTCTTTTCATAGTGTTTTTTTTACTCTTTTCAGCGTTTCTTTACGTCGTTTTTTACTTCTGTCTCACTTAGAAGAGCTACTGGTATATATGCTTTTCGTTTTCTCTCCCTTTCTTTTTTGGCATAGCTTCCAGATTCTTTTTTCTTTTTCTGCCTGTACTTTTTCTGTATTTCTGCCCTTGACAAAGGCATCCTGAAATATATATTAATAGAGGCAAAGTAAATTATGAAAATATCCAGCTCAATTTATTGGATATAAGGTTATAAACATAAATGTTATAAATTAACTTCCGTTACATTTTACGTTAATATTTTGTGTTTAAAACCTATCAATTCCTAAAATCTTATACTGAAATGAAATACTAAGCAAATATTTCAGAGCTTAATGTACATTTATAATGATAAACTGAATTCAGAAAGAAATATTATCATTCAATATGACCATGGTTTGTTTTAGTTTTTAACTTCCGTTACATGCAGATATCATCAAGGTCCAAAGATGATTCCTCGTCACGTATACAGGTTTTCAATGAATATGTATGGGTACAAACAAACATCGTTCAGTAAAATGTATATATATTTAATAAACTAAGCACAATATACTTCTTAAAATCAAATATTATCAATTGTACGTTTTTGATTAACTTCCGTTACATGTTTGTTTACCAATAATATTTTTGTTTTTAAAGGCTAAATAATCATCAACGGGTTGATTTAGAATATGATTTGATTGTGTAATGTGTATTACGAAACATCATAATAATACAACAAGAAGATTTATCAATACAAACAAGATATAGAGCATAAATAATAAACGTTTACTGACCTTCAGACAAATCTGCCGACTCACTGAAAAACGATAACCTTTCAATGTCAAACCGCATTAACTACAACGTCATAATTTTGTTTGTGACGTAAGCAATGTACACGCAGTCATTTTGTAATGCTATCGGCTTAATTGCTCAGTACAAATTATCGATTTTATAACGGAAGTTAATAATCACGGAAGTTAAAAAACAGAACAATTACCGTGCCTTTTCTTTAAAAAAAAACAATCTTAAATAAAACAAGTACGTGTTTTGTGAAGAAGGCAAGCTATCCGTTATTTAAACATAGAATATCAACTGGTATACATGTTAAGTAAGATTTGTTTTGTTGTCACGGCAGTTAATTGACTTTTCAACTGTTTTCACTCTCGCCTAAAAATAACGAAATGATATTCAATATATATTTATTATCATGTTTTTACCCGTTTTATATGTTAGATTGGTAGTTTAACGCAAAATTTAAGGTCTTATTTCGTCTATATGCGAATTAGCGCATATGCTCTAGACGTCTTGTTTTTGATAACGGAAGTTAAGAGCATTTTGGCGACATTACAAACTCGCTTTACACAAAGAGAATGGTGTGAATAATGTTATTTAATGTGATGAAAAATCAAGAAGGACTCTTCAGCCAAAGTTTAAAATATTTCTTTTTTGTTGAAAGCAATTTAATTATTCGTAAACTATTCTGTTGAGATGTAACCCATTCAAGCGACACGGGAAAATGCATAAATAGATGTACTGTGTAGCTCTATTATTGACTTATTTCATCTGAACTGTTCAATAAAAATGATCTACAATTTTGAGAAATATGCCAAAGTTTGTATCAAACAAATTAAAGTTGCATTTTCGTGCATTTTTGTTGAAATCACACATAAAGACACACAGACATACAAATGGCGCGTAATTTTCTGGAATGGCTGTTTATGCTGTCCATTTTCCAATGATCAAGTGTTCATAAGAAAAAAATGGAACCATTTTTTTCTTATGGGAACTACTTGAATATGAGTATGACGACATGTATTTCTAGGCTGAATAAAATTCTTCAGGGGGAAAAAAAGCTTTTTTGAAATTTCTATAAAACGTGAAACATAGAATTAAATTTATTTTAGATTTAGTTATATCGAAATCTTAATTGCAGTTTAGATGTTGTTTACTTCTATTTGAAACTGACTGGCATCTTATTCAAAGAGAGCTGAAAAAGTTTAGTTATGTTTTGTAAATGAATATTAGAGGTATCCAATTAAAATCCAAATGATATGATTTACAGAATCTAAAATGAAAGTTATAAAGAAATATACATATTGTACATACCTTTGTATCACATTTTACTATGATGACAACATTCTCTATCCTACAACCAAATTTACCATCTTCATAATAACCGGGCTCTGTAATATACAAGAATAGAATATCACCTTATTATATGTATACTGAGTAAGGCCCCAACGGTTACACGTTTAAACGGATCCGTTTCAATTTTCATTCGTAAACGTTTACGAAATTTTTTACCATTTAATCAAAATGACCATATTGTCTTACAAAGAATATTAATCATTGCCCGTTATCATGGATTTTATCAATTCATATTGGTTTATTCCAAAGTAAAAAACGGAAAATGGGTGGTTACAACCCTCCACACAGCATCATCGTGCAATAATCGCTCGTGACATAATATATTCTTGGTAAAGTTGATTTACCTTTGATGCTCAAAAGACGGAAATGGGGATAGAATGCAGAAAATGTGTGCCGACTCAATCGTGATGAGCCCTGAACACTATTTATTTGTACATGTATTAAAAATATAAAGTAATTCATCAATTGGCGGCTTGAATACATGGTAGTATAGTACATAGAAGTACCATCGTTTAAACGGTATCGTTTCGGTTCTTAACAATCGTGTAAACGTTTACAAAAAAATTGTAAACGTGGGAGCCTTAATACTAAGAATGTAAGATTGTAAACATCTGCCATTTGTCAATCACAGTAAGAAAGTAGTTCAACAGTAAATTGCCTTATAAGAAATTTGGTAAGTTAAGGTTTCAACATAAGTTCACCTTAAATTTACTAGCAACTTAGCATATAGGCTTACAAGGCTGAAAAACTAATACATGTAATACAAAAATTCAATTCAAATTAAAATAAAATCTCAAACAAAAACGTTTAACAAAAGTCAATTTCATGGTAAATAAGAGATACAAAAGTGGAATGAATAAATCAGTCACTATTAATAAATTCTGAAAGAAAACTTTTTTTAGGATGGACCTACTATACATTAATGTGCTTTCACAAAAATATTGTATTATTTATGAGTTTATTTTGTTGCTTAAAGGGAAAACATGTTCCTCCATTGTCTACTATATAATTAGATAACTAGAAGATATTTGTCTGTTCTGGGGGAATGTAAAATGTATCACAATAACATTTACATTCAAAATGTATGAGATTGATATGAACTGTACATTCATATTAGTGCCAATTTAACGCAACAAGGGCTATCTGCAAGACAGAGCGCCTAACTATTCTCAGTGCTTGACATAAAGAAAAGGGGCATAACTCTGTATAAAAAGTAACTGAAGTTATGGGACATGTGCCCATTGTATTAAATAATCACAGAGAACAAGTGTGAGAACTTTCCATAGTGTTGGAGAAACCAACTTGCACACAAAAACTTAAACAAAGTTGCCATTGCAGCCAATTTACAGGGGAGAGTACAACAGCTCTCCCTATTTTTGAATAAAGGAGCTAATAAAATTAAAATATATATTTGTTTGAGTAAGATGGTGAAGGTAAACTAATATACAAAATATTGACTATACCCACCATCAGACAGTATCATTCCTTCTTGTAGAGGAGTTTCATGCATAACTCTTTGATGAATACCACATGGACCTAAAAATATATCAATTTACATAATAATTAAACCCGGTTTAGAACAACTTTTGAGTTTCCCTTACCCTTTTTTTTATATTTTAATTGTGATATAAGGTAAACTGAGAAAAGATTAGTGCTGATAAAACACCTCAAGGTATATCTTAAATATAAAAACATTTTGAGAAAATTTTTAATTTGATTATCACTAAAACAAAATGATGATAATCAGCATATATTGTGAGCAGTAGATTCTGTCAATTATTTTGCATGCTGTAATGTTCAGTGTCAACAATATTCCCTCATATGTCACCAGTACTGGTTAGTTCCAGCAAGATATGTCACCAGTACTGGTTAGTTCCAGTAAGATATGTCACCAGTACTGGTTAGTTCCAGTAAGATATGTCACCAGTACTGGTTAGTTCCAGCAAGATATGTCACCAGTACTGGTTAGTTCCAGCAAGATATGTCACCAGTACTGGTTAGTTCCAGCAAGATATGTCACCAGTACTGGTTAGTTCCAGCAAGATATGTCACCAGTACTGGTTAGTTCCAGTAAGATATGTCACCAGTACTGGTTAGTTCCAGTAAGATATGTCACCAGTACTGGTTAGTTCCAGCAAGATATGTCACCAGTACTGGTTAGTTCCAGCAAGATATGTCACCAGTACTGGTTAGTTCCAGTAAGATATGTCACCAGTACTGGTTAGTTCCAGCAAGATATGTCACCAGTACTGGTTAGTTCCAGTAAGATATGTCACCAGTACTGGTTAGTTCCAGCAAGATATGTCACCAGTACTGGTTAGTTCCAGCAAGATATGTCACCAGTACTGGTTAGTTCCAGTAAGATATGTCACCAGTACTGGTTAGTTCCAGCAAGATAACTTGATAATAATGAGTTTATAGTGTTTAAATAATTATATCAAGATAATACCTTCATGTACATTGAGAAATGCTCCAACACCATGTCCAGTACCATGTAAATAGTCTAAACCTACATCCCATAATGCAGTGCGGGCAAGAGAATCCAATAACTGACCTGTGTTATCAGAGTATTCAGTATCATTATACAGTAAAACTTACAGTAAAATAATATCAAATACTTTTATATAATAATTAAATCATAATTAATACTGCCTGTTTGTTACATAAATTTTCTACGACAATTATTACTGTTATATTTTCTATATATACACCTGTTTGTAGTAGAAAATGCAAACTGTTTCAGGCACTGACATATTCGTAGATAGAACAGCTCATTTTTTATTTATAAGATCTTACACTTTCTAACTTCATGTATAAAGTAACTTCAGGAAATGGTAATGGTTTGTTAAAATACATTCAAAGTCATGTGAAATTCAGCATTAACTTAACAAAGATCTGATCACCAAACTATAAAAATGTTTTACCTTTGACACCATTTGGAAAAACAACAGTAGAAAGATTAATATGGCCCTTTAACACTCGAGTGAAACATTCCTAGAGTAAAAACAAATTATTACAATTATTTTCAAATATACATGTTTGTTAGTGTTCAGTGTTCTAATCAACTTATGTTTGCATGTTACTGACCTACATGTATAACTGTCACATTTTTTATGACATTTATCTTGTTATTTTTCCAATGTGACATAGGATTCTTCCAAAGTAGTACATTTAATATAGTCAAAGATGAAACATTAGAGAAATAGAAATATTATCTACATATATTAACCTGCTGAATTTCTGTAATTGATTTGTCCAGCTTTGATTTTTAAAACATTCCATTCAAAGTTTTCATAAAAATGATCTACAACCAGTATAGAGCCTGGTCAGATTGTAATGTCATGCAGATTGGACTGACTCTATAATGGTGGCAAAGGCTAATCACTATCAGTTCCCTTACTTCAAGGTTATTTAAAATATTTTGAAAAATCTGGAAAATATTTCTTCTAATATTTCAAAAGTGTCTAGTCATTTCTATACAAATTTGATGCCAAGTATAAATTACATGTACATGTTTACTAGGCTTAAACTGATACATGTACCTGCCAAACTGTTAAATTTCATAATCACCAAAAGTGACAATGAAAATTACAAATTAAAATTAAAATCAAAAACAGAATATAACAATGTTAAGTTCATATGACAACTTTCTAGCTTTAACCTTACTATAATTATCATACATGATATGTCACCAGTACTGGTTAGTTCCAGTAAGATAACTTGATAATAATGAGTTTATATTTTATTTGTATTCCACCATAAAAAACTTAATACCAAATCAACATCAGAAATTGTAACTTCCTCTACATATAGAAATTAATTGTTTACTATCATTACCTTTTCATAGTCAGATGGTGTACCAAAATGCATAGTTCTAGTCACATCTGTTGTACCATCTCTGTTATTATATAGTATATACCATATAAACATTTTTCTGTTATATTTTGTTTTTGTTACGGTGATACTACCGTATAAGTACTTCTTTCTGCGGGAACTTTAATTCTGCTATTTCTGCGGTTTATAACGACACCGCAGATTTAAAAACTGCAGAAAATTAAGCCTTTCGCTATGTATGTATGTCGGAATATGTCAACTACCTGTATTGTATAATTACATTACCATGTACCGTTATCAGCTTTTGTAGATGGGAATATTTCTTTTTTTTTCAAATGTATCTGTCATGAATAAAATATTAGAAAAAAAGGTACTTTACTTGTTCTTTTTGTTTAAAAAGATATCATGTTTGTATGATTTTCGCTCACCCTAAGCTTGATTTATTTTAAAATAAAACTATTATAATTTGACGGGTGCAATAAACATACCCTTTTGTATTTGTACACTATATTGTGTCTACGTGCGATATTAATTATTACCGTTGTTTATTTTTCACACTTCATATTTATACACATGCATTAATTGTTGTCATTGCACGTTGTTGATTTTTGTTTATTAACGTTTATATACCGAACATGGTAATTACGATGAACACACATTATAAGTCGTTGACGGTTGTTAAGTCTAGTGCATTGACGTGCATGAATAGTTTCGTCCTTTGATGATGTCATAACGTTTGGCAGCTTGAGCTTGTCGTTTTGACTACGTGGGACTGGTCCTGGTTCGAGTTGTGTCGGGACTAGGTGAGAGTGAAGCTGTTGGTCAGCTGTCCATGTTGGCCCTCATTTATACATCTGTTAAGATCGGACCTTGACCTAGCAATGACCATTGGTTTAGAAGCCCGGTCTTTACATAGGGACTGTCCCTAATTGTTCTTTTTTCGGCAAAAAATCATTATCTCAAAAGACATCTTTCAAATCGTTGTACGGCCTAAAGCTCTGGCAATAAATTGAAAATATTGAAATGTGAAATTGAAATGGAGTGAGTTTAACGCGATATTTATACATCAAAACAGCAGGTGTCAAGTGCATAGTGGCATCAGTAAAAAAGGTGCCCCGTACTTCACTTCAGTGTTGATATGTAATTTTCTGATCCTTTAGAACTGAGTCCAGCACTTTTAAGTGTTGAGAGTTGAGCCGGTGCCAGGGGGCCGTGGGGGTTGTTGCACTTTTTTTATTATCCATCATATACAACCCAATTAAACCGAGTCTGCATTTTCATGATTTAATTTGCTCTTTTAATGCTTCCAAGGGATCACTTTTTCCAAGATATTTCAACACTTTTTTCAATCGTATAAAATCACATTTTCCGGCGTTACCGCGAAGCGTCCATCGGCGTTTCCTCATAAACACGACTTGAATCCCATTTTATCACTTTATTTTATTTTTTTTATCATCAGAAGTTTAGTAAATGTCACTTGCCTACCTAAAATCGAAATTATACCGTATAATATGCATTGTTGTACTAATAAAAGTCGACATAAGCCAAAATCTCGTTCAAAACGGTAGTCAAGTCATCATTTTCTTTAATGATCTTGAAAAGTAAACAATTTATTGGAAATAAATTGATGAGGGACAAACAGTTGTCTTTGCAGCCGTATGCAGCTATTCATTTTTTTCAGATAGGTTAAATAAAAATATATATTAGCCAGTTTACTTACCGCGTCTGGAAATCCTGTCAGGTAGCCGCCATGTATTGCACAATTCTGCGTTACTTATTGCACGAATCGTGCGTTATTTTCATATTCCAACATTACCGAATATACACGGTGGGGCTTTAATTCCATAAAATATGATAAACAAGATCAACAAGGAAAGGCGGCGTTCAATGAACGCAACCCCATGTTTTCATTTGAAACGAGGTACTCATTAGACAAATACGAGTACATATGGCGGTCAGGGCTATTGACATCTCGCCTAAAGTAGTAACACAGGAATAATAGTATTCAGGACAAAGACAATACAATGTAATATTAACACAAATCATCGTTGCCAATGCTAGTGTTGTCCGTTACTAAGAAACCATGTTGATTATAAAATGTTTGATTATTTTGAGATTATCCCTTTATATAACTTGTCCTCGATCCTCAATCCCCGTTCCTCATTATAAGCCGCAAATGTCTATTATCAGATTAGTGGTTAAATCTGTTGTTAACTCAACAAAAGATCAGAGTAGGAATATATCAATGCACTCGAGTCTAGTGAATTTGGTGGTGAAGGTCATATTTCACACAGCCTAAATTTCATGACTACATCAAAAGGACAACACAGTAAGACACTTTGTCAAAATCTAGGTCAGCGGAAATCAAAGTTCACTTTACATCTTAATCTGTGCACATGGTTCAAATTTCATAGCTGTACATCAAAGGACAAGAAAGTAGGTCACATCATCAAAATCTAGGTCACCTGATATCAAAGTTCAATTTTACAACTAAAACTGTGCACATGGTCAAAATTTCATTGCTGTACATCAAAGGACAAGAAGGACCCAAGGGTTTAATTCAAAACAATCTTGATACAGGTCCACCAAACAACATTTCAAGTCAAATATCTAAGCTGTAGCTTTCTCCCATTCAGAAAACATTTGTTTTATTTTCTGTTTTTACTATGTGTACATAATGAGAATCACTGCCCCCCGGGCAGGGCCAATTTTGACACCAGGGGAAAAATTTGAACAACTTTGGTAGAGGGCCTATAGATGATATTATATAGCAAACATCAAAGCTCTATGCCTTGTACCTTCAGACAAATATTTTTATTTTTTTACTATATGTAAATCAATCAATCAATCAATCAATGACCCCCTGAGCGGAACCAATTTTGACCCCAGGGCTATAATTTGAACAATCTTGGTAAAGGTTCACTTCGCAAAGTCTCATGCCATATATTTAACCTCTAGCCTTTGTCAATTCAGAGAAGAAGATTTTTCAATTCAGAGAAGAAGATTTTTCAAGTTTTTACTTTATACAATATAAGGAAAAATATTGCCTCTGGGGCAGGGCAATTTTAACACTAGGGGCATAATTAAAACAACTTTAGTAGAGGACCCATAGATGATATTATATACCAAATATCAAAGCTCTAAGCCTTGTACCGTCAAAAAAGAGGATTTTTTAATTTTTTACTATATGTACATAGTAACAATCAATGACCCCTGGGGGTAGGGCCAATTTTGACCCCAGGGCTATAATTTGTACAATCTTGCTAGAGGTTCACTACATAATGATTCATGCAAAATACATTTGTATCTTAACTCTAGTCTTTGTAAATTTAAAGAAGATGATTTTTTAAGTTTTTACTATATACATATAAGGAAAACCTATGGCCCCTGGGGCGGGGCTAATTTTGACACTAGAGGCAAAATTTGAACAACTTTGGTAGAGTTCCTATAGATGATATCATTTAACAAATATTAAAGCTCTAAGCCTTGTACCTTCAGACAAGATTTTTTACTATATATATATATATATATTGAAAATCAATGACCCCCGGGGCGGGGAAATTTTGACCCCAGGGCTATAATTTGAACAATCTTGCTAGAAGTTCACTTCACAATGTTTCATGAAAAATATCTAACCTCTAGCATTTGTCAATTGCTAGAAGAAATTTTTTTAAAGTTTTTACTATATACATATAGGGAAAACCAATGACCCCCACGGGCGGGGCCGATTTTGACCCAAGGGCTATAATTTGAACAATCTGGGTAGAGGTCTACCAGACAATGCCTTATGCAAAATATCTAAGCTCTAGGCCTTTTGGTTCTTTACAAGAAGGTATTTTAAGTTTTTACTATATGTACATATAGTGAAATCAATGACCCCCGGGGCTGGGCCGATTTTGACCCCAGGGCTATAATTTTAACAATCTTGGTAGAGGTCTACCAGACAATGCCTTATGCAAAATATCTAAGCTCTAGGCCTTTTCAGTCTTTACAAGAAGGTATTTTAAGTTTTTACTATATGTACATATAGTGAAAATCAATGACCCCCGGGGCGGGGCCGATTTTGACCCCAGGGCTATAATTTGAACAATCTTGGTAGAGGTCTACCAGACAATGCCTTATGCAAAATATCTAAGCTCTAGGCCTTTTGGGTCTTTACAAGAAGATTTTTAAAATTTATTCTTATAATTCCTTTTGGTTGCCATGGCAACCAGATTTCTGCATGGAATGAAATTCTTTCAACAACTTTGGAAGCCCTTCACCCAAGGAACAATCCTGCCAAGTTTGGTTGAAATTGGACTAGTGGTTTTTCACAAGAAGATTTTTTAAGTTCACTATATAATCTATATAACACACACACACACAAACAAACAAACAAACAAACAAACACACACACATACACACAGGTGAATCGCTATATGCCACCGCATCACAGATGCTGCGGTGGCATAAAAACATCAATGCGAGAATGATGACACGGCAGAAATAAAATACGCAGAAATTTAAAACCCCTTATTTTAACAAAAATCGCAGAATATTAAGCCCGCAGAAATAAGTACTTATACGGTATATCCATCAAAATTTTACGTAAACTCGACACTTTGTGCCTACATTTCATTAAGATCATAAATAAACAAACATGTACCATCACAACACATGCAAAATATTAATGAAACTAAGAAAATATTCAAAACTCTATGACCATCTTGTAGATTGAAAGCTTCAAAGTAAATTGTAACCCTATAAAACAAGAAGCCTAAGTAACTCTTTATAGCTCACCTGAAAAAATGTACACCAGACTCAAATGTTCAGGTTCAAATGTCAGGACAAACTTTGTCCCAAATTAGGCAAGTTTTGTTAAAGCCCACTTTATTATCTACATAACTGTTAAAATTGACCATAATCAATGCTATATACCAAACATCTAAGCTCTGATGGAGGCAAGTGTTTTAAACAAGATTGTCCACATTTTATTGCCAAGTTAAATAACTGACCCCTACAGCAGGACCAATTTTGACCCATAAATGCCTACCACATTTAATCGTGTATTTCAACATATTAACTTACTTGTACTGTGCACCTGAATCACACAGATAAACTTCTTCTGTTGATAATGCTTTGTCTGTTTCTGGTAATGGACTTAAAAGTAAATGTTATTAAAGAAACTCTCAAATATATATAAATCATATCTTAAAGTTAATCACAAGATATTTCCAATCCCCCTTTATTTATAGAATTACTAGCAACATAAATAGCATACAAGTAAAGTACATAAATTACACATAAAGTTCAAAAGAGGAAAATTATTGAATCATAAACATGTTACTGGTGACTTGACTTACATGATGTTGGTGATGGTAAAGAAACATGTACATTGTATATAAAGCTTGTGGTACATCCCTTGAGTAAATTACAGATCCCTACACTTACTTATTATTTAAATAACAATAGATTTAACCAGGAACATTGACCTGTGTTATTTTGTTAACAATACATTGTGGGGGATATTCTTCTTGTAACCCACTAATTTGATGATTGAAATTTATACAGATAAAGGTTATTTAAGGATCCCTGCATAAAGATTCTATTGCAAAAATATAATGTACATAATAAAACATCATCAGAAATTTAGACATCAATGCAAACCTTGGGGTGAGTAGGAAAGTTCTCTATATATTTCATATTGTCAAGCTATAATATATTTATAATACAATTGTATGTTTTAACCTAAATGTTAGAAATAACGTAACTTGCACATTTAACTGCTATTAGAACAAACCAGCTTGCAAATTTGTGTACTCTGATCAGGTTCTAGACTGCTTGCATTTTGACTTTGAAACCCCATAAATTATAATAGGCAATTCCATAAACAAAACAAGACAAGTCTATTTAACAACTACAGGATGTTACAGGTCAACTGTATTGTAATAGAAATAGAGAATGTTTAAGTGTTACCTACTGATAATGAATAATTGCACCATCAGGACCTGTACTTGATATTGTAGCAAAGCTTAGACTAACATAGTCTTCTTGTCCCCTATAATATATATGATAAAGTTTACATGATTGCTGCAATAATAACTTGTATATACCACTATGTTAATGTAGGTCAGTAGGCTCATCCACACTATATACTAGTGGCAAATATATCCTGAATCCTTTATATTGAAAACTATAAAATTATCAAAGGACAGTCCAAACAAGTTGGACAAGTTCATATACAACTTCCGAAATTCACATTGAAAATGAAATATATTATAGAATCTTAGTGAAAATACAGCCAAATATGTAAATCTCAGTATTATAGATTTTATTTTAGTTGCTCACTGTCAGATTGATACTCATGTGGTGTAATCTTCATGATGTTTTAACTTAATATCACCAATGAACATTATCTTTGATAGTATACATGTACTGGCATACCTTTTTATTTGTTCTAATTTATCAGCAGCAGATACTTCTGTTACGGTTCCTGAGGGAACGTTTTTTTCTAACCAGCTAAAATATTCACACAATGTAACCGCATCTTTCACCTGAAATATCAAACCTCAGTTTAGTTTATAGAAGAACATGTTCAAGCTAAGGTTAAATCTGTTTACAGACAGATGGACAGACAGAAAACAGACAGACAGACAGATAGGTCAGGAATTAAATACATCTTTTTCAATCAATTGATACAAGGGCAAAACAAAAACCTCATTATTACTGTCAAGAACAACTAGCTATCTAATAGTTAAAATAAGGCAAAGAATCAGCATTCTGTCATTGTATTTGTTCAATAACACAGAGGAGTTTATAAATAAACCAAAAACAAATATATTTATACATTCCCCACCTTTCATGCTTATGGCCTTATTCACTGAGCTATTTTGAGCTATGCTTGTGCCCTAATCATTTATATTGTAATTATATCAACATATATTTCCTCAAGAAATAGTTTATAAAAATATCCAATAATACATTTCTCTTGTTTTAATCAACATTTAAAATACTTATGGAAAATATGTCCATTGTGAAGACCAATCCACTTTCATTTCTGGTTAAGATCAATACATTACAGAATACATATGTCTTACTTTATATTAAACAGACTCTCCTACATACTTACATGTGCTCTTTTCATGCCATCAATTTCTGCTTCATTTTTTACAGCTTTCATCAAAGCTACAGGTGACGGTTGACTTAATCTTCGTAACTTTGGTATAGAGTTTACCAAACCAAAACTTGACTTCTCACTTATCTAAAATAAAACATACAATCTTCATTTACATATCCATATTTTCACATCATTTCACTAAGTGGCAAAAAGGGGGTGGTGAGCAAGGGGTAAGGATAAAAGTGGTGTTACTCAATTTATGTCATACTTTAATTTAATCATAAAAATCTAAAATAAAATCTGTTTATTCAGAATTTATTAAAATATAATTTTAGATATTAAAAACTTTTAACATAGCTGTATCTTTCAAATATGACAATCTGGGTGTATTCTTTATTTTTTTTAGATATGTTTGTTTAAAACATCCATGCATTGCTAAGTAGATGAATACATAACTTTCAGATCACATCCTTTGTAAAATACATGATTAAAAGTAAAAGTAAGATGTTGCCATTTTTTTTTCAAAATTAACAAACCTTCATAAACATCAGTGAATTGAAAATGTTGTTATTTGTTTTGTTTTTCCCCCAAATAAACAAACAAAACCTGATCAAAACTCCTTTGAAATATTTAACATTCTTGACACAAGAGTACCATAAGTGCATGGCAATATATGCCTGAATGCAGATCCAACTTGAGTGATTTAAAACAATCTTTCACTCAAGGTAGAAAGCTATTCCTGAAACTTGTCTGAATCATGTTTATATTAAATATTTTTATGATATTATGTGAGCCCCAGAAGTTATTTGTGTTGTGTAAACTTCAGTTTACAAGCTAATGTTACATGCCAAATGTCTAAGCTCTTTGTACTGAAGTTTTTCACAAGATGAAATACATAATATATATGTCTTCCTATATGTTAGTATATCTAATCTATTTGACTTTTGGGTGTGCCATTTTTTACCAAAAGCTTATTATTTACGTATTTTTAGTAGAGGACCATAAGGTGATGCTACAAGAAAAGTATCTATCCTTTGGGATTTGCAGTTTAGGACATGTTTCATAATATATATACTAAATGACTACCTCCCCACCCCTCCAACAATCAAATGGCAAGACCATTTCTTAGCTCAGTAACGTACATGTACATAATTTATATAAGTTTTATATAGGTCTACTAGGCAATGCTAGTCTGCATGTCAAATATCTTAACTCTGGGTATTTAAGATGTGTTTTCTGATAAAGTCTGTACAAGTGTGACCTTGACCAAAGGAAGCCAAAATCTGCACATTGTTACATTATGGTTAACATTTCTGCCAAATACATACAATTTCCTTCCATGAATTCAAAAGTGTTAGAGTAGACATGTTTTAGCTAACACACAGATGGATAAACAAGTGCATAAACATAAATTACCAAAACTTGTCCAGGTGTATGTAATGATAGCCAGTTTGCTGGCAGGTCACCTTATACTTACCCATATTTTTCCAGAGACATTTTTGGGAAGATCAGCAACAAAAGATTTTACATCATTGTATGGAAGAATTGTAATTCTTACACCATCGTTGCCATCTTGCATATCTAGGTTTAAATGATGTCGAACTTTGTTGTCTAGTCTTTCTTCATCAAGAAATAAACTTAAAAATAAAAATAATAACATCATGTATTTTTAATGCCTTCGTTCCGATTGGTTTTACTATATTTGTAATGTTTTAAAACTGTTTTCTTTTTCTTCATATAACTTTTTATGATGATATTAATATATATTACAGCAACCAAAACTTAAGTTAGCCTCTGCAACCAGTTAAGAATCAGGGCAGCCAGTATATATGTAAAGCATGACCCAGCTCTATACAGTTGGGAACTCACAATTTCATGTTTTCATATTGACATCCGTTCAAAATCCAAAGTAGGGCAAATTCATTACAAAAACTGAGCCAGCCAAGGGCTACACAGAAGCTATGATTATTTGTTAAATAAAACATACTGTACAGAATTAGCACATATCACAGCATAAGCAAAGAATACAGGATTATATTCTATGTCTGATCCTCGCATATTGAATAAATCTGGAAGAAAAAAACAACAATTTCTTTGCATAGTTATATAAATAATTGACTTATTTTTATACCTTTAAATGAATTAAATTAACAATCAGTTTACTCACTTTTATTAAATCACTAATATCAGAAATAAATTAATTAATTTTGTATTTGAAGATATAGCTTTTACAGGTGACAATTAATGTTATTAAACAACATTATAATCACAACATGAAGTTCTAAGTGATTACCTTCAATGACTGCTGAGATACCTAAATGTCAGCTAACCCGTTAATATCCAGGTATTGTCTATGTTAATAAAGGGGTATAATTCATTAAAAAAAAGTCAGTGCTAGAGCTTTACGTACATGTACTAACATAACATAATTAAGTAATTATGGAATTCGATCTTGCACACAAAATCTCAAGCCAGGAATTTTCAAATTTCACAAAAGGGGAAATTAATCAAAATTCCTATCAGAGTTGTGTGTCTTAAAAAATGACATACATTTGTACCATGATTATCCCATTGAAATGTTAAAGGGTTTCAAGTATATATCTTCAATAATGATGAAATATAAAGTTCCATGAAAATATTAAACAGAGTGTAACTCAAACAAAGAAGACTGGGTGAGTAAAATAGTCAAACTTTTCTATGAAGTTTCGGCTTTAAGAACAATTATCCTTACATGCTACTTCATCAAGAGCTGTCAAAATAAGGGCATCAGCTTTCTTCTCTTCTAACTTTTCACGGACCAAACATATCTTTTCCTGCCATGTTTTACCTAATAACATTCAATAAAGGTACAAGTATATACAATGTATAATGTATATTTATTTTGTGAAAAGTTTAGTTGAAAGCAGAGTCAACATTGTAGTACATGATAATATTCCAGCTTTACTGGTAGAGTAAGACCTAACATGCCCGTTGAGTTGGCATCCTAGTAGAACTACCAAGCTTCTATAAGCTAGCTGTATAGCTTACACACAAGCAATAATCCAATGTCTTCTAAATGAATTCAAAGTCACATTGTATTTGTAGAGCAGTAAGGGATAACTAAAATATCAGCTACATAAATCCCAATGTCATGAACTGGATGAGTAGTCAATTACTTATTCTAACACGACCCGCATTTTTCCCTATTGAACATAGAAAAACCGAAAGTGTGTGTTATTATGCTATAAAATCACTGTTTGACGTTCTATATTTAGACGTGTGACGTAATCATTATACACGTGACATAACCACTAAAAATGTGACGCGCTGAAAATAAGAACGGAAACAATTCAGGCGCTATTTAGCTAAATATCAGGTACGGCAGGATTTATTTGTTGATGTCGTGTTAGAATCGAAATAATATATCCAAATCGGTGATTTTATTGCTTGATAACATCACTGTTTGTCGTTCAGATACGCATCATTATATCACTCGGGCTACGCCCTCGTGATATAATTCCTCGCATCCGAACTCCAAACAGTGATGTTATTGAACAATAAAATCACAGTTTGGGATATATTATTTCTTAAATAACCTACAAAAACAAAACTTTACATTTTGGGCACAAAATGTTGAAGAATCATATAAAACTCTAAAATTCATAATGCTTTGTACCATTACACTGTATTTTCCTCCTTCAGTACAAAATCCTGTCTTTTTTAATGTACTATAAAATTAATAGCACAATCCTATAACATTCTGCTGAAATTCTAAATCATATAACAACTATTGATCCATGTATGGACAATATTTAAACAATGAATATTCAATATTATCTATCTAAGTAAAAAGAGAAATCTAAGTAAAAAGAGAAAAGTGCATATAATAGCAGAAATAAAATATTGTCAAATAATGGTAACTGTATTCCATATACATGAAAAACATTTCATTTCTTATCAGATTTGACAAAAACCATGAAAGTTTGTTTTTTTTGCAATGAGAGTCATACAGTTAGTAGTTATATCACATTCATTAAACCCAATATTTTATCACTCAGTATAGAGGAAACATCATTGCTCACCTGTATATTTCTGTTCAAGGATCATGAGACTGTTGCTAGGAGGTGACGGCTGATCATCCCATACTAGATCTATCAAATTTTCTGATACAGGCACTAGATGATGTCCGTTAGATTTTAGAAGTTTAGAAAGAGGTTTCCAGGTCTCTGTAATAAAAGTAAAATAGCCTTAAACATTGTCACCATTTCTTACAGAAAATATGTGATCTATCCATGACATGACCTCTAAAAGCTTATAGTTCTTTGTCTTTCTTTGTCTAAAAATTTATTTGTCAAGTTAAATCAACCAGGTGATAAAACAGGAAAAAAAGTTGACTTTTCTAAAAAAAATGTGCAGTTATTGCAAATGATTATGAATTGTAATAGAGTTAGATAGACTTGATAAAAAAGATTAATGTATTACATACCTGTAGCCATAAGAAATGGGTCCACTCCGACTCTTCCACCCATGGGAAGAACTTTTGACAACCAATCACCTTGACTAGGAGTGCCTGGTATTCCTTCAAATATATAAATGATCATAATTCATATTTTCTTTACATATATCTTTTAGTACATGAATATAGTACATGTCATGCATATTCATTCCGAGTTTGTTAAATTTTCATTGTTTCTCTGTTCCTGGGGTTCACAACACAACTTACAATTACTATCAAGTCAGATAGAAAGAATTAACAGAAGATTTAAGGTAATAATTAGGCTACATTGCATTGTTTGTTAATTGGAGAATATTTGTTTGAAATTTGATGATAATTATACCAATTCATATAAATTGAATTTGTTTTTTGTGTGTATTTTTCAGATAAAATATGTGACACTACACAAAATCATTGCTACACCAGAAAGTAGCACCTGAATATTTTCACTAGGAATGTTTTATTCTGTTTACCCAGTATATACTTCATGTGTGACACTCCTGCTTTGACAAAAACAATATGAAAACATTGTGCTTGTACTATTTTCCAAATGTTTATAGCATGTTTTGCTTATAACATTTGCTAGTAACTGTTAGAGTTGTGAAATTCAAATGAATGAAATATGACTGATTTTGACGGGTTTGACTTTTTCATTCAAGTCACTATAAAACAGTTACTGGTAAGATCATAATAATATTCATTTAGAGAAAGAAATTTATACTGCATTGCTTCACAATTGTGAAAAATATTTTTACATGAACAATTAAAAGCACAGAATAATTTCCTGATGTCATAATGTGTGCTGCTTATATATAAACAATGTAAGGGACTTCACAAATTAACATGTATATATACATTTCAGACAATAATAAACATATCAATGGCGCTTTCCATGAAAAGTCATGACTTTAAAAAAAAGTTGAGCTGGTTAGAAGAAATCTTACAAGATCTTTTTTTTCCCCAAAATTCATTTAAAATTTTTTAAAAGTTTAGAAATTTTTGAAGCACATTTAGTCTCTATGTTATGTAAAACAATCACATAAGGTCGGACGTTATCATAGATATTATTCAAATCATATAATCTCATAAAACTAGATGAGATAGAACTGATAACTGTTAACCATTTGCCTGCTGGAACCGAAAGTAATTAGTCTATGCTAACGGGCTCTATATTGTTGGTAGCTGACTTTCTAAAATCCCTAAAACTTTAAATGACTCACTCGGTATTTCCATTATATAAATTCAGCATGTTACAAATCAAAACATAAATCCAGTAATTCTATATGGTCTTACAATAATATGCTACAAATTGCTATCATATATCATTTTAAGGTTTTCTCTATAACTTTGTATATATCAGTTTAAAACAACAAGTACCATCTCTCATTAGTGTCCAATTATCATCAAGCTGCTTCTCGGCCTGAAGAAAATAGCGTCCGTCTGTCCATAAACCAGCCTCGTGTTCTGTTATAACAGCTGTGCCTGTACAAATACAACATTTTGTGTATGATATGTATTAATATATCTGTATATATAGTATCAATACAGCATATGAATGGTGTAAATACATGCATGTCATATGTATGAAATAGTTTATTACATCACAATTTCTGTATAAATTTTATAATCATTATTGTGTAAAATGTATAAACAAACATTGTATAAAATAACACAATAAAGTCCTTCAATAAACGAAATACAATTACATGTACATAATTCTAACATAACAAGAAATTTTGCAAAAAGCAATGTAACCTTAGTACTACAGCAAAAGTTAAATCAAAAACAAAAACAAAACATGCAAGGTATGATTCTACCAAACATGAAAGATATCAGTCAATAATAAAGACTATATAAGCAAAAGTGTAACAAGCATTATTTACTATTTTAAGAGACAATAGTTTAACAGTTTAGCAAGGCTGAAAATAGTTCTTGACCATTGCACTTCCTCTCACTGTGCGAAGTGTTAATCAAATTCTTTTGATTCTTTTCAAGTTATTCCCTTGCATCATTAAAATAACAACAATAAATATAATATAGTCAGACTCAACAGTAGAGAGTTATGACAAAAGCTACACTTATTTTCTTTAAAACAGATAGCCAAAAAAGTAAAAGATGACTGTTTACCTGCAGATCCATCAAATCCAGAGATAAATGCCCTCCTGTTGTCATAAGGTGCTATATACTCACTCTGAAAAACACAGAAAACATAAAACAATGCATTTCTTTTAAATAAATTTAAATGAATCTTTCACAAAATATTCAGCCACAAATGAAAATATTAGTAATTTGAGCAGATGCTACAAAATTAAATCTTAATAATCTTAATATGTAAATACATGTAATTTTTCTCGGGATACTTAACCTTATGATTGGGAATAACTGAAAAAAAACATCATTCAATGCATGATAACAATCTTAATCTATTTCTAAAATCATTCAAAAATATATATTCCAGATATTGTAAAATGTCCTTAGTGCCAGATATCTGAGACTTCTGTACACTAGTATCTATTTACTACATGTACATCATTCCCTTCTATACACAGACATATTCAGACTAAATTAAAAACCCATTTCTCAATCTTTCTTTAATCAAACGTTTGTCCATGACGTTTCACAGAAACAGCAAGATATTTTTAGCACCAGATATCTGAGATTTCTGTGTACCAGTAAATATAATACTGCTCTGATCTGCCTCACAGACGAAACCAAACTGACTCTTTTGCACTGTGCAAGCTCTATTTATACTGTTGAGGCATCATTTATGCAGTGAATGAAAACAATGTTATTGATTGTCTAATAAAAATAAAACATTTCTTGATACTGATTTTAACTTACTTCTATAAGTGTCTGTCATTTGAAGTACAGATTTATTTAAAGTCAGTGGTTGAAGTAACTTTTTGAGTAAAATAAATATACAATATGAAATATAAACACATCGAAAAATTATCCTATACTTATACAGCTTTAAAAGTAAAAATAATTAAAATACCTATCTTTATACCTTGATAACTTTAAAAATACATAATTTAATACAAATGGCGAACTTATAGAAAATGAAGGCAATCAAGTTACCCATAAAATAAGTTTCCGTCACAATGTTTATGTATGAAGACTGCATGTAGGCATTTTCCAATGGATATACTGTTAAAAATTCACTGCTGACTTTTGTTGACATTTGGTCTATCAATACAGGTTATTTTACAGATTTATCTTTAACAGATTTGAAAGAGGATCCAATCATGGAAGGAACAAGAGCCAGTTGAACCGGGTGATGCTTCCCGAATAGGTTTCGGACACAGGAAGGTATACCTCTTGTAGTGTCAGAGTTATGTCACAGACAAAGTTCAAAGTGTTAAAACAACCCAAATGTTGCATGCGACACATTGTCTCAATATGGTGATCATCTCTGTGAAATAGTTGTAAAATCCAACTTCAAATAACAAAGTTATGGGCCGGAAATGATTTTGTTGCAAGGTCATGCTGTGACCTTGACCTTCAAGGTAGCAACCCATATGTTGCGTGTGGCACATCTTCTCAATATGGTGATCATTTCTGTGAAATAATTGTAAAATCAGACTTCAAATAACGAAGTTATGGGCCGGACATGATTTTTTTTTGCAAGGTCATGCTGTGACCTTGACCTTCAAGGTAGCGACCAAAATGTTGCGTGCGACACTTCGACTCAATATGGTGATCATTTCTGTGAAATAGTTGTAAAATCCGATTTCAAATAACGAAGTTATGGGCCAGACACAATTTTGTTGCTAGGTCATGCTGTGACCTTGACCTTCAAGGTAAAGACCCAAATATTGCGTGCGACACTTTGACTCAATATGGTGATCATTTCTGTGAAATAGTTGTAAAATCCGACTTCAAATAACGAAGTTATGGGCCGGACACAATTTTGCTGCAAGGTCATGATGTGACCTTGACCTTCAAGTTAGCGACCAAAATGTTGTGGTTGACACGTCTTCTCAATATGGTGATCATTTCTGTGACATAGTTTTTCATAAAATCAGACTTCAAATAACGAAGTTATGGGCCGGACACGAATTCGGGACGTACTCACGTACATATGGACGGACGTCTGGCCGAAATGGATTAAAGGGGCCATTTCTTTTGTTATTTTCTATTGTTTAATAGAGGGCCAATGGCCCCTTACTCTATTGTTAAGGAATGAACTGTATTGTTCTCTTTTGTTCTGATTACAGTAAGATGGCCCCCTATCCCTATTCGGTAGTGCTAACTGACAGATGGACAACCCGGCGACTATATGTTCCCCCGAAATTTTTCGGGGAACATAATAATCCAATGATGAGGAAAGAGACTGATTGATTTAATTAAATAAAAGAATGGATGGACAAACAATGGAGGAGACAGTTATTACAATGGCAAACCTTGGGCATGTTGTAATTTGGTGAGCTCAAAAGGGAAGACTTGGGCATATAAAAGCCATTAGATGGACAAACAGTTTTGTTGGATCAACATAACATTTAATTTCTAAATTAAAAATATTTAGATACCTGGTGTGCATCCCCAGAAGGTACAATATAAGCATGCAATGGCTCTGAAACATATGCTTTGTTTCTCATTAAAGATCGAAGCTTTGTTAGAATGGCAGTGGTACTTTTTGAAGGCATTGTTTCTGAAATAAATTTTTTTTATATATTTTCATTTTCTTGTATAATACTGACATGTAAATTGAATAAAGATACTACTTTGTGAATGGCAAGCAGTTATATTTTGATGTCTACTTTTGCTGAATTTGAAAGTTACGTTGGAACAAAACATGACAATGTAGTTTGGGATAATTTTTTGTTTGATACTTTATTATACAACATGAAGGTAAATGACTGAATATTTATAATGGAGATTTAAAGATATATCTATTGTGCTATGTCAAAACATGTATACAGATTTGAAAATGTGTTATGGCCTTAAAAAAATTGAGAACAAAATGTTGACAGTGTTGGGAAATACACCATGACATTTTTTTCATGTTTGATGATATTCCAAGTAATGCATGCCAAAAAAAACCAAAAGTTTGAACATTTTGGACCAGATTTTTTAAATTTTCTGACCAGTATATTTACAATATAATCAATTTAGAAAATATTTATTACATGCTTTTCGGTGGTTTATAGAAATATATCAGTGATATAAAACTGGTAATTTCACTGTTTGAAACAGTGAAATTACCACTTTGATAATTTCACTGTTTTGAATTTAAGCCCCTAACGTTGTTTCAGTGAAATACCAGCGTGCACAGAACTGGGTACCAACTTAATGACGTGACGTCGTAAATGACGTCAGTGTTGTATTATTATTTGGCGCACTTTTCATTCAGTATTAGGTTGATTGTCTTTTTAAAACGCTTCTTTGCATATAATAAAAAGAAAATTTGTTTAGTTTAGTGTAAGATTGAAATATATTTCACCTTGTGAACACCAAAAGTTCATATTTCACTCATGGCTGCGCCACTCATGAAATATACCTTTTGGTACTCACTCGGTGAAATATATTCCGATCTTACACTGAACTAAACAAATATCCTCTATTTGTTTATATAATTGTATAGAGCGCTGTAGGTTATATGTCACGGTGTCAAGGGTATACGCATCATTTTTTTGCGTACCGCCGATAATCTATCATCCTGCGCGCAGCACCGTATCATTCTTACGTAATCTTCTGAAAAGTTCAAGAGGTAACTTCAAAAATGCGAAAATTTCTTACTAAAATTGATTTTATTGAGAGAGTTTGCATACACCACGGAAGTTTTGAATGATTCATCTATGTGTGCAAAATATTTTGCAACACTATTTGTCTATCATAACCTAAAACTAATGAAAACACTTTTATACATGTAAAACATTTGTGTTCTTGATGCGAACATTTTTCATCCTTTTCCGAAAGTAAAGTTGTCGGAAGAAGTATCATATGTCAAATGATCACAAAAAGCATTGATACGAGCTGATAACATACCAATTTTATACAAATAATGCAAAATAATGTTGTAAAATCAAGAAAACTTTGATAAACATGGTACCGCATCATGCAGAACCATGGCACCGCTTCTTTTTGCGCAGTAATACTGCATACATGTACATAAAAAATGTGTTTAACTGTTGGCTTTTTGTTGGTTTTTTGGAGGGGGTATTGTTCCTTTTTATTGTAGGATTGACAAGAAAAGGTAAATGTTTGGTTATCGGTTAGGGTAAGCGGGGCAGTTGATTACCTCGGCCTGAAAGCAATCTAGACCTCTATTGTTTTTTTAGAGATAATTTCTTATAAAAATGCTATGCTTTCGTAGCAGTTGCATTTTATGTCTGTTGTGGAGTTCAACTTTTCTTTGGACTATTTATTTTTTACATTTGAATTTTAGTTACCTTACTAATTGACTGGGCAACGTAACTTACGCATGTTACTGAATTTAAGAAAGGTGGCAACTATGTGCTCCTGAATTATTTATTATAAGACCATACCCCCAGCAGAGCTATTCAAAAAGTGTCTTCTACGTCTGTAAGATATGGTGGCTGATTTGGTACATTGCGCGTTGCGTTGTCGGTATCGTTATCGCATTTTCGTCTTGTCGCTAACGACAACACTACATAGCGCCAAACAGCGCATTGTCGCGCTCTCGTCTTGTCGTCCTGTCTCTAGTGAAGCACACCAAACGGCGCGTGGACATGTGGCGTGATGTCGCCCTGTCGCTTGGCTTATAAGCAAATCCTTAGATTTGAACCGAGCGACAATGTGACATTGCGACAACACGCCGCACGACAACGCACCGTTTGGCGTACATCGTTAGCGACATGACGACAAGACGAAAGCCCAACAATGCGCCGTTTGGCGCTTTGTCGTGTTAGCGCTAGGGTGTTAACGCACAAGAGAATTCCAAATCAGCCATTATAGTAAGAAGACACTTTTAAATAACCGTTACTTAAATCCTCTTGCGAATCGAAATATAAAAATCTTCGCGATTAAACTTAATTTTCGCATGTTTTATTCGAGAATAAAGTCCACGAAAGAGAATGTTAAATCTCGCTTCTTATCTATTAATAAGACCCAGTGCGCTGCTTGATAGTAAAACAAAAGCCTTAAGATTTTTCAATAAGGGCGATAGTTCTGTCAAAATTCACAATTACAATAGCTCTCCCTATTTTTTCGAATAGTTGAGCTAAATCAAGAAGATTAAGTCAATCTTAACAGGCGATGTTTTAACTGTCTCAAACAGGACACTATAGAAACCGATGGAAAGTAGTGCGCATCTCATGAGAAAGTCCAGTTTATCGTGAAATTGGATGGCCATTTCCAGGAACAAAGTAACTGTTGATTTTAGCATTGACGAAACTAACAGTTGTTCGTTGGAAGATGGTACACCACTTAGTTGGGGTTTTTTTATATCGTCTGACATTCTATAAAAAAAAACATTAAAAGGACTCCACTGAGGTTTAAAAGCCTAAAATCATAACATTTGAATTTCTTACATAAATGAGCTGGGGCACTTTAGACAGAAATATATGCAAATATCGTTAAGAAATATAGTTAAGAAATATACTTTGAAATAATTGAAAATTGTATTAAATTGCTTTTCTTAGTCCGATTTGAGTGAAAAGCGTTTAAACGCTTTTCATTTTTTGTCATTTATTTACAATGTGAATAATTATTCTGGAAAAACAAAGTGCGCGAATGATCTGAAATTTTGCACAAAGATTAGAGGTCTAAACCTACACCAAATGGTACATTTACATGGAAAAAAAATCAGTCAAACCTCAGTGGAGTCCCTTTAAAGTGACATTTACAATGTACTGTACCCACCGCCCCACACACATAAAAAACAACTGCCATAAACGGCGAGCATTGCGTTAGCGTTAAGGTAATCATGTGAATAAGAAAACTTACTAAATTTAGGGTCCAAAACGTAATCCATATAACATTGACGCAAAACAAGTTAGAGACGATTTCAATGATGACTGAAGTAATCGATTTAATTAAATTTGACATTCTGTTAATTGATGGCAGCCATTTTAACATTGTTTAACATGAATAAAGTGAATTATGTCCGATTTACTAAGTGCACGAAAGTTCCGTGCGAATACAATTTACCTACACCTTTCACTGCCCAAAGCTTAAAGGCCATGCAAATAGTTTCTATAGCTTTATATTTCTAACGTGAACATACATTGATCTATTTGTAATCAAATGTATTTTCTATCTATAATTAAATGTGTTATTAATTTATCGGTTCTTTACAATTTAATGTCGTATAATTCAGATACAGTTACTCGTATTTTCTTCAAATTGTCTTCTTATGTCTGTAAGAAGACACTTTTGAAGGAAAACTTGTACTGTATCCATTACACATCTTTGTCGGCATGCTTGAGGGTTCGAGCTCACGCCTTGACAAGCGATGCCAGAATTCCAAGTCCGACGTTTCAGTCTAAAAGTCACGGGTTCGATTCCTTACTCTTCCAATGTATTTACTAAAATTCTTTTATTTAAACAATATTTTATTTACGAACACTTCATTTACATGATAACTGACAAATATCAAATTGCACGGATTGAGTAGAAAGCTTGAAAATCTTGTTTTTTAGAAACTCTCACCGTAAGGACTATCTCAAAGAGTATGTATGAAATGGTGACAATTAAATATCTATATTTGTGGTAAATATACATAACATTTTCACTAAAAACTTGCTTCTTTACATGTACAAAAATGTAAGCAATTTGCACTCTGGTTGTGTTAATCGAACCGATCTTAATAATAAAGTATCGACTCAAATTCTTTCGAATATGACCGTGGTCCCACGTGTTTAAGTTTTATAATATTTTATTGCATATTTTGTACATGATTAATTTACACAATCTAACATCATTATCTCAGCACGACATAATTGTTGTGCTTGTGGTATTTTTAGTTTCAACTTTTCGGCATTTTCTAGTTGGGTGGTTCCAATATTCCTACTTGAATAATGTTGAATCACCCTTAGGATATGTTGCCTGCTTTTTAACTTTGTCTTTTGACGTCTTATCTGTGATATGCAGGCTTCATAACCTCTAATCTCCTTTCAAAATTCCATTTTATTTAGTTCCGCCCATTGTTTTCTCGTTTAGGGCACATGCTTTCTATTACTTGGGGACCATACGCCGCTTTTCATGGAATGGCACAGAAGTGTCACGTTGAAGGTTCCATGATAACCGCCGTATGAACACATCTGCGGATGTTTCTAAATTAAAAATTTCACCATGTCATGTTTAAATGTTGAATTCTGCTTAAGCCGGTGCTAGGGGGCGTGGACGGTAGTTTGCACTTTACAGTACCGTCCATAAACAGGCTCAATCAAACCGAGCCTGCAACATTTACAATTGTGTTGTGTTGGACCTTCTTTAGGGATTCTTATTTTCTCTATTTAACTATATTAAAATATAATGTACATACAAAAGGGTTGGACCAAAAGTTATACCAACATTATCTAGGGTCCTCCCCTGAAGGTCTATCTTGTTGGCTTAATGGTAACATAGTAAGTAAATGTGGTTTTTAGAAATTCTGAGATATTTATTTATATGATAAGCGATATTAATTTCATGTATTTTAACTTGGTAAAAAAGAATCGCTTAACCTAAAAAAAAAAAAAACAAAGA